AGACAGAAGAGAGAGGGGCGTGGACCTTGCTAAAGAGAAAGGGTATTTTAGTCTTCAGTTGAGCTCACTTTTTGACTAGAGGTAAATGCTATACAAATCAGTATTGGGGTTTAGTGACTGATCTAAAAATATTTGTGGGGAGATTGTCTAAAAAGTTACGTCTTGAAGGTATATATAATTTTCCCTAACTTAATTAGGCCATGTCGTAGTGAACTCACCCAAGTCTTGACTGAGCAGGGGGAAGATGAAATGACAGGAAAATTAATCCATGCATGACTGATTGCTATTGGTGCACAAGAAATGGGGCTTGGAATTGAGCTTGAGTGGCTAGCAGTAGACCTTAGTAATGCTACATCTCAAGTTTGATTCTTTCGCTGAACTACTAAGGGGGAGAAGGTGAAGAACAAAAAAATGAGATTGAAGGAAGAGCTCCAATAATATATAGAGAAAGCCAAGGCTCTATCCCCAACCAGTTGCCAATGACCTCATCATTTGTGGCCTCTATAAGCAAGGCCATTCTTGGCCCCGTTAGCCCTATACGACCTGGAATTTTCAGTCTAATTAACGGAGCGCGATCGGATAGATGGAAGCCTATAGAAGAGAAATATATACATCACAAAGAGTTTTCAAAGGAAATTGAAGAGAGAGCCACATCACCAAAGGTTTTAAAAGAAATTGAAGAGAGGTCGTGGTGGTAGCACCTCACACCTCAATAACCATGTTGTGGTTTTCATTCTCGCTACTAAAACCATCATGTTGTGGTCACTGGGTAGCGGTCAATCTTCCCCACTGAACTCCCCAAAAAAATGCTATTATGGCGAGTATTGTAGCAACTCGTTTGAATACTGTAGAACTCAAGCGAGATTTTCGAAATTTCATAGTATTGAAACGAGTTATTACGAAGTCTCCCCATATAGGTAACTCACCCAAATCTTGGGCAATCAAGTTAGTAGCCTCTTAGATTTTTAGCTCTTCATAATCAACAGTCTACATTTTAGATGCACTCCAACACTAGGTATTCAAAATACGCATAATCGTACCCCTAGAGCGTAGAGCAAAAGATATGCAGACTCAATAAATGTAAAATGTGATCTCTTAACGATGAATCCTCTTCACCCAAATCACCAGTATTCTACATAGCCCATGTCCTATCTCTTTCCCACGAACGGTAAATCATCTCTCTCTCCTTGGAGTTCAAAAAGAAAGAGAGAGAGAGAGTACCAAAAGGGTCCTAAATGATCAATCCATACAAAGAAAGAATATCGGTGATGGTTCAATCTTATGACTATTGGGTGTAGTTTTAAGATCCAGTCACCTCATAATTAAGTATGTTTGTGTTTCGATGTTGTGGGGGAAGCTTTCTATACTTCTCTTAATGTATAGTAGTTATATATTTCCTCTTATCTATCCTTCAGATCTAATGAGTGGTTCAGATGGATCCAATTACAATGTCACGCCTCTAAAATGTTTTATTTTTTATTGTTTTTCTACAAAACATTTCCTTTCTTAAACTCGCACCTGTAAAAACTATTAAAAAACTATCTCCAATAAAATAAAATGATCAAAATACCCTTAAAATTGTTATAGGTATTTTGGTCATTTATTTTCTTGGTAATATTTTTTTATATTTGTTTTAGATGTGCCTTTTGGAGATGATGTAACATACCAAATATGATATTCATATAATTTTTAAAATAAAAATTAAAAATAAAATACTCTGAGGTATTGGATCTAAATCAAATGATGAACGCTTTGTTTGATCTAAATTGGACAGCCGGAAGGGAGAAGGAGAAGTATAGATGTCTTTATTATTTATCAATTGTTTGGTTGCTGCATATGTTTGTAACAATTTTCATTCCGTTTCGAATTTCATAACATAGTGCCGCTCAAAATTTTTATTTAAAACCTTTTTGCATTTTAGGTTTGTGTGCACACCTAAAGAGAGATAATGTGGCACCCAAAGATAATCAAACACATTTGAGGTGTCACCTAAATACCATACCAAACAAGAAACCAAAAGTGTGTAAACGTGGCATTAACAAAGAAGGTCGGTCAACCATGTTATTATTTTATTTTTTTCAAAATTGCCTCTCGGTCCAAGGATTCCATCCTCAGATCAAATTTTAATTTTTTTTTAGATTTTTCATTAATAGGGAAAACAAAATTAAAATTAAAACTAACAAAAAAAACTTCAAAAAAAATGTAAGTCAGAGGGACAATTTTGGAAAAAAAAAAAACAGGTTGACCGACCTTCTTTTTAATTTCTGTATATAGATGGAGCATTTTGTATTTTAAGAAAAATTTTAGGATCCATACCTAAATCCCTCAACATTTAATAACTAAAAATAATTGTGACCACCTTATATCAATCCACGGGTGATCACACGCGTGTGACGATACATAATCATATGCTTCAATTTAAGTTATGCACTACATCAGCCAGCAAAAATGAAGACCAAGCAAGAGTTTGCAACTCTTGATAACCATTTTTAATATACATGGGGGTGACAAGTGAAAAATCATAAATCATACACAAGAAAGTGAAAGAGCATACACATATTATACACGAGAGAGTGATAGAAGCAAACATATAATTGAATCATGTACGAGAGTTATAGGAGCAAACATATAAGTTATACACCAGAGAGTGATAGGACAAACCGATAGAATCCAGGCCTTATCTCCACCACCACCCTGCTTGTGTTGTTCGGTGGGATGCTTGCAATGGCGTCTGTTATGTTATTGAAATCCGTCGATCCATCGTGTCCAACGGTGATTGTCATCGGATTTAGTTCTGCTCGCTGCAGTTCCTTGTCAAGGGAGCTCAAGAGCTCAAGAGTGGCAAGTGGCAGTGCAAGCAATGCAAAGAAGAAAATGAATGTTGCAGAACCCATGATTATGGTACCTTTATTCACAAAGAAATAAATAGATTGATTGATATGGAATAAATCAAATTCATTGGAAGCATAAACCATATAATCATTCATAATATTTTGAAGAAACTATGCCCTTTCTGCAAATAAATCACATGTTATGATCTACTCTAAGGTACTCAACCAGTTTCCAAGGCTAGTACGGACACACAGACAATAGATAACAATTTACATGGGGAGCACCACAAGTAAAAATTGATGTAAACTAATTTATTGTTAAAGATTAAGTGCATTTGAAAAAAAATGTCATATTTTACAAGTGATCAGCATGAAATGAACAAAAATGACTTAAGCTAGGCAGTTAATGATTCTTGCATGGAAAAAGAATCAGTTTCAGAAGTATATTGTAAGAACACAACACCATTAGAGCTCTCAATAAATCCAAACACTCCTCAAGAGTTCTCTACCGTGTATTCAACTTGACACTAGGTTTTGTGAACCTGGTGCAAAGTGAGTTGTAGAGGAGTAGATTAGAGGCCGAGAGCAAAAGCCATGAAACCAACCTTTCTAAATATGTGTCCTTAATTGGTTTAAGCCCAAACCACGGTGACTTACTTCTAGGTCTACAAATGAAGGATTAAGGGCAAACCTATTCCATGTACTAGACCAATAGTTCTTTTGATCTACGTCTAAGCTCACATGGGAAGTTTCCAAAAGATAAGAAGCCTACAATGGAAAAACTAAAAAAGAAAAAATTTTGAATTACATATTCACTCATCATGGACTTGTAGTATAAGAGATGCTGAAGAATAACAGGTAAGAAGAAACAAGTGAAAGGTGGGTCTCTCTCTCTCTCTCTCTCTCTTCTCTCTCTCTCTCTGGCTTAGGCTGTGCATTTGAACCTCTCAGGCAATGTTAAAAGATGAAAAAGAAGAGAGAGATCAGGCTGAGGTTGTAATACACATCAAAAAAGCAGCTCAATGAGTATTAAAAACTAAGATGAGGTTTTGAATGAAAGTAGTAAGCATTTCATGTCTGAAAATCAGGTTTTTGAAAGAGCATCCATGGCATTACCAGGGCAAAATGGGGAAGCTGAGTGCAAGACTTCTTGTGGTTCTTTTGCAGTTCCCTCCTTTTCTGTTGCTTCTGCTCCTGTTTCTAGCACTCAAATTGTAGAGAGAGAGAGAGAGAGATAAACTTTAAGGACTTCTACTCTAAACACATAAACATGGAGAGAAACACAGAGTTACTATCCTACCACTAAAGATAGATACCGGAAAGAAATGGACTCTGAAGAGAGAGAGAGAGAGAGAGAGAGAGAGAGAGAGAGAGAGAGAGAGAGAGAGAGTACTACTAACAAC